TTCCTTAGAAATGCATGATTCAAAGTCAGTAGAACTTAGTTTAGCCTCGACGTCGCTCGGCCGACTTAAATCCTTGTAGACTGATGTAGCAGACTTGAGTCTGATAGTTTGGTATTTAGCTAGACGATGAGCTTACTCCAGCGATAGTTACTCTTATTTCTTTGATGTTACGGCTTCCTGAGTTACGTCAGTGACAATGAATTCCGCTCCGTGATTCAAAATTGAGTTTTGATTCGGCTTTAAGGACTTACATTGATTAGCTAGGTCTGGATGGTGTTCCACGGGTATATATGATTATGGATAGATAAAGACTCTTTCAGCAGCTATATCGCCATCTTTGTCGGGTATCCGGATTTAAGATCCGGCTTCGACCATCCACATACATATGTACAACATCCGGTTAGAGGTCCGATCTAAAGTATGTAGAGCATCCGGTTAGAGGTCCGGCCTCAGTTACATATATTTTGCAATTGGCTACTTGTGTAATTCTAGTGAGCTTCAGGTTCAAGTCCCGACCTTCGTACCGTCAGATTCTACTTTTTAGTTCGGTGTTCTTCTGGCCTCGAGTTCTATTCTCCTTAAGTTATAGTTATTTTGTGTACTCGTCGGGCTTATGGGGGTCCGTTCGGGTTTTTATTTAAACATGTGCACGAGTGTACCTTCTGGGCTTATGGTGGGTCCAGTTAGGTGTAGTTAGCTTATTTATATGAATTTAGTTAGATCTTTATACACTCGTGTGCATTACTGTGTTACTTAGCCTTCCGTTCTTGACCTCTAGTTTTGTGATTCCGTCTTTTCATATTGCTTTACTTTTCTAGTTCAGTCGGCCTATGATGCCTACTGGGTACCTGTTATTTGGTACTCATGCTACGCTCTGCATCTATTTTCGTGATGCAGGTCCGAGCACTAGTAGTTAGCGTTGATCGAGTTTGGAGCATTTCTGGTCTGGAGACAAGGGTGAGCACACGACATTTTGTACTATTTCAGTCTCCATATGTTTATATAAAGACTTGTCTTTTACTTTTCGAGACAGTCTAGTTTCGGTGGTCCACTGTTGGGACTTGCACTCGTTTTGTTGGTAGCTCTATATTAGTGACTTCCAGGCTCTGGGAGGGATCCTTAATTGTATTTATGTTTTGGTTTGCTTATGTTGTTATAGTAATTTTTCTTAGTCTTGTTTAGTTTCTACCCTCACACCCATTACGTGTTGTTCTGGGTTGTGGTTTGGCTTACCTACTGGTGGGTTATAGTAGGTGCCTTCATGGCTCGAGAAATTGGGTCGTGACATGTATTGACTGAACGGTGCCTGAGGTAACATTTTAGTTGTTTCTTCTTTTATTTCTTGATTTTTTTTCTAGAAACAGGAATATAGTGTTAAAAATATAATGCCTTAAGATTCTCAATTGTTAAATGTTTTCTTCTTTTGAAGCTGTCAAGACATTATGAATAAGATTGTAAATGATGCATTTGAATTATGTGATCCTGCTTTTCAGGGTAAGCATAATGACAAGAATAAGGGAAACGAGCTTGCATGCCCAGATCCAATCACTTGCTAATATTGATGGTAAGGCTATATACTCTTCCTTAGATATTGAACTGAAAAAAATGAGGTGTATGATTTACCTATTTATCTACTAGTTGAGGTAATAGAGTGTTTTCTGGCAGTGAATCCTCTATACAACAGAGCAATCGTGGATCTCTTACATGATGGCCTTAACAAACAGATTGAGGTTGTAGCAACAGTACGGTGCTTAGTTAAATATGATAATCAAGCTCCGTTGTAAGTTACTTCATCTTGGAGGAACCCACACGAGTTGATCATTTTTAGAATTTCCTTTATAAGTGAAAGTCACATGTCTGTTCGGCCCTAGTTTAAACTTAACTATTTATTTCTCAACGTGTACTCTCATTCTACAGTTACTATATGCTCTGTGACTCTGATGGGAACAGTTTTGTACTTACAGTGTTCGGCATACAGAAGGAAGCAGTAAGCACTATTTTATGATGTTTAATGTTTCTTGGTACATTTATCCATTAAGTAGAGTATCTTGGAGAAACCGATGCTAAACTACTGCAGCACTACATGCCTAAAAAATTAGATGAAGGGGGAGGCACCTCACTTCTTTAATATGTAACCAAACACTGAAGGTAACAAGAGAATAGTTAAGTGAGTTAGCATTTTATAAATTTTCTGTAAATTGGAATAGTTTGTTTTCTATATCATACAATCAAACATCATTTTTATCTTGATTTTCTCATTCGTCTATACGCCAAGGAAAAAAGATTTTAATATCATTACTTAACAAACTACTCTTGTTGACAGATAAAGCTAGGAGATCAGGTCACACTATTGGATCCCATTTGCAAATTTGTTGATTTTGAATGGGGAGGAAAGGTAAACTCGTTATAGTATCTGTGGTATTTCAGATGCAATAATATTCCAAATGTCATTTTGCTTTCTATAATGATCATGTCAATAATTTGATTTCCTCGTGATTTATAACAATCTACCATCCATTTTTTTTCATTCTTCACTGATATATTGTTATTTTTATTGCAGCACTATCAATTCAAGTCTGTGCGAGTTTATTTTGTGAAAGGTATCGTTGTAAATGGAAATCCATTGAGGTCAAACCACTCTAGTCTATTAGATGCTAGCCATAACTGAGGGCAAAATGCTCTAGTCTATTAGATGCAAATTTGTGATCTTGTTATGAGATAAACTCTACTTCCCCTGTATTTTTTTTCAATCTGACAATGTCATTTCCTTCAGATGTTATATTTCTTTGACAATTGATGATTCGTATGAAGTAAAAATTGTATTCTCTTCATAGTTCTTCGGTCAAATCCTATTTTCAGTATGTAGTTTTCTCTTGTTTTGTCCCGATATGTCTTGTGGAGAAATATAAAGCGTATTGGCCAAATAGAATTCTCTCTATATTGATCAATTGAAGCTACAAATGTTTGGTCTATTTATACATCACGTAGTACTCAAGACATAGAGTCCTACATAACCTATGTTTAGCATGTAGTAGTCCTAACTATATACAAACACAAATCCTTGTACATCTATGATTCTAATTAAGTAGGTATCTAGCCGGGGGCTGTCTCAACAAGTTTAGGGACCTAAAGCCAAATTTTATAAAGAGACCTTATTGTTTTTAGTTGACACATATAAATTGAATAATTATAACACTCGGTGTAATCATACAAATGTGGTTTGAGAGACATGGTATGTGTAGACATTATGAAGTAAGAATGCAAATAATGTAAATTTTCAATAAAAATTATGTAATATAATGTTAGTATAATAAAACATGACTAAAATTATGATGATATTAAAATAGTATTGCGATGAATTTGATAAGTAGATAAATAATATTAAAAAAGCGTTTGATTAGTTTTAGTGCTTGAAATTGAAGAAGACACCAAAACAAATTTGATCTTTTTATAAACGGAAAAATGCATAAGTACTCCCCTAAACTATGATCGAAATTTCAGACACTTTAACTAAACTAAGGTCATTACCCCCTGAACTTATTTGTTTTTTTTTGTAATTTTATACACCGTTTGTATTACGTGACTCCACGCAACCGAGGCGTGTGGAGATATTTGGATGCCACATAAGTCAAAAAGGTGCACAAAATTATAAAAACATAATAATTCGGAAGGGTAATAAGACCAGTTTGTATGTCTCTGTGATTTCAGTCATAGTTTAGGGGGTACTTGTGCATTTTCCCTTATATAAACACGTAACAATAGATTTTACATAATATAGAATGCTCTAACATTTGAGAGACTTCACAATATCAATAATGAAAGAATAAAAATAGTGAAAGGAGGATAAAAAGAAGTATAAGAACACAATATTGTTGGTTCATGATAATCGTTAGAATATAAATGAGCTAGACAACAAAATAGATAGCAACATGCGAAACTAGAAAGGATACTAAGAAGTTAGTAAATTGATTATATTAATTTATCTATTTTTATATTCTATCCAATTTAACTAAACTAATTCAATTTGGTTAGATCTTTAAATTTGAATGGCTGTGATCGAAATCTTTCTGCTCTTTCCTCAATTCCAAATTTAGCCATTTAGCTCTTCCTAAACCCTTTTGTTTCAAGCCAACCTCAAAACCCACTTTTGGGCCTTCTCCTCTCAATTCTCAGAGGCCCATTTCATTCTCAATATCTTCAGCTGGCCCAACACCTTATTCTAATGGGCAACCTTTCACATATAGCAAACAAAAAAATCATATTTGTATAATATAGCAAACTTTGCATAATTGCGCTCCATAGCAAACATAAAAACTGTATAATTCGCTATACATATAAAAGTGTATAATTCGCTGGCCTAAATTGTATAATTCGCTGGCCTATTTCGCTGCAATTGTATAATTAGCTTTGCATACAGTTGAATCGAATTAAAATGTATGTATATTGCATAATTATAAGTGTATAGCAAGAAAATATATGTTTTTCTCGCTTTATACAAAAACAGAAACACAATATATACACTTCTGTTGTATAAAGCTAGAAAAATTGTATTTCACTGCAATTGTATAATTCACAATTGTATAATTCTTTGGCCTTTTTCTCTGCAATATTTGAAGTAAAATGTTTGTAAATTATATAATTAAGTGTATAACACGAAGATATACATTTTTGCATGTGTATATACAATTTTCTCTCTTTATACAAAACAGAAACAGAAATTATACACTTCTGTGTATAAAGCGAGAGAGGCGAGAATGGGAGAGTGGCGAGCGAGACTTCTGGGAGAGAGACGCCTTGACAAATTTTTGTCAATGTTTGCTATGGAGCACAATTAAATCAAACCCTAGCTATTCAATTTAATTTAGGTTATTAGTTTGCTATTTTATACAATTTTCCCTATTCCAATTCCTTTTTCAAATTTTCCATCCGACCCAGTGACCCGACCCGCTCCACTTCTTTATTCTCAAAGAAAGCAGAAATAGCGTGAGAAGAACATCACTGCCATTTTTGTTGTGTCTTCTTCAATTCCCATGACAAGAGTACACCGGCGCAGCTCTTCTAGCAGGAAAAGCAATACAAGTTTTCGTCATCTCGAGGACGCTCAAATAGATCCTAGCCCTCCACCTCCGTTGAGAATTGTACAAGTTTGGTACAATGTTCGAGTTGGCTGACAACTTATAGGAGGATTTGAATTTCGAATTTCAAATCTCTCCAAATCCATCCCGTTTTCCCTTCCATTTTTGTCTAATCTTTCATCCATAAATAGCATCTTTTTCTACATTTTTTTGATTTGGGAAAAAATAGGGCTAGAAAAATAGAAAAAGGTTGGAGGGAGTAGAAAGAGAACGCAGGAAGAGTTACAGAGAATCAACAGGCAAAAGCGAGGTAGGATTTACAGCGACAACGATCATAAAGTTAAAGTTTCTGGTCTCCTGTTTGGCATTCTAATTTCTGTAGATCGTTGGAAGTGGGGTTGCTCTCTTAAGCTCTTCGTCGTCCTGAGTTTGCTGCTCCAAAATAGGTACATCCTCCTTTACTCTTTCGCCGCTCTCTTGTTTATGTCGAATTGAGAATGGTGAGCTGTTGTCTGCGAGAAATAGCGAAACACTAATGGCTTAATTTCCTTGGCTTCTTCTTGTTCTGAGAATAGATGATTTTCTGTTTTGTTCTGCTTATGATGGTCTAAAATTAATTTGGGTTAAAGTTCAGATTGTTCATTGTGTATTTTGTCTTTGTGAAATCTTAGTTTCAATTATTTCTCCCTTTGTTCCATAGCTTTGTTTGCTGAAATCTCTTATATCTTTCTGTGGTAGTTTTGTTTTCCGACCATGTGAGCTTGACATAATCTAGAGATAGTGTGAATCTATGACTCCACGTTCAATTTGTTTTTGTCGATTTGGTTTGAACGATTTTATATCCAGGCATTTTAGTTTAGTTTGTTACATCTTTTGTAAAGAGATTTCCTGCTCATTCTGAATAATTTGATCATCTACTCTTTAATACATTATGGTTAATGTGTTGGATGTAACATTTAGGAAGGGTGTAAAGGTTGTTCATGCTTTAATATTTGGAGTGTTTTAAGTTACTTGGCAGTCTTCTTAGCGTCCATGATTTATGCTACTGCTTCAGTTTAGCGTAGGCGTTTGACTCATCTGCTTTGATTTCTTATGTCCTTATCGGTATATGTGTTTACTATGTTATTTTGGATTAGTTGTATTTTTTTAAAAAAAAACTTGACTTCACTGCCTTCTTTAGCGAAAGATCATATTTAGAGCAGTAGGGTATGGTTGATTAAGTTTCTCTATGACATAACATTTTTTTCATTAGTAGTTCGATTTCTTCAGCCTGTTTGTTTGCATTCTGGAATGACTATTATGCAAGTTGACCCCTGTCTCCGTTGTTAGTATTGTGTTTCCTCCACTCTAGTTAATTCTTGATGGCATTTTAAGAGTTCAATATAGAAATCTCGTTTGCACTAGTGCGTAGCTATGTGGTTGATTTCTTGGCTTGTGAATGTTGTCATACTTAAAATGACTTGTTCATTGATGTAATGTGCAAAACTTGTAGTCTGTGTTGAATCGGTTCTATTTGATTTTCCTGTATTAAATTAACGATTGGCTACTTGTACTTTTTGTCTATCTTTGTTTGATGCATGTGAAATCTGTCCAAGTCCTTAAGGACGCTATCCTTTTTCATATTGAGAGAGCCATAAAGGCTCAAAATCATTCATTTCGATTTTGCCATCAAGTGGAACTGAAGAATAAATCCATGAATTCAATGTATAGGTAAATGGAGCTAATATATGGGACTGTATACACTAGTATGCACCTAGTGGATACTAAAATGGGAAAATGATCCTAAAAGCCCCCAAAATTCAGTTTTATATTTTGTTGTTGGGCGTAATGTGACGTTCCGCCACAATTCTAGCCTGATTTGGCGTTCGAATGGGGCAGAAGGATCTAGAGTTGTGAAGAGGTTTTGCAGAGAACTCTAGACCCTTCTAGATTTCTGGAGAAGACAATAGAATTCCTTAGAATTCTCTAAAATACTTTAGATTCTTGTGGAAGAGTTTAATATATTCTAGAAAATGTAGAATTCTCTAGAATATGGACTAAAGTGTAATTATTAGAAGGACTTGTAGAGAAATTTTTGTTTGCACTTAGGACCTTAGGAGGTAGTATAAATAGAAGGGCCTCTCATTTGTAACTCATCCAAGAATCCAACCAAGCAAAGTTGTAAGCAAATCTTCCAAGCTTAATATAAGTCCTTTTCCAAAGTTCTTTCTAAGTCTTTCTTTACATTCTCTTAGCGATTTAAGTCTTAGAGGCTTACTTGAGCTTACAAGATGGTGAAAGATTTGTGAGTAAGTTGTCGAGTGCCACACGGAGTCTTAGCAAATACTCTAAGCCCGTGACAAAGTGGAATCAGAGCCAGGTTTGATTATAAGAGAATGACTAACGAAGGAGACGTAAATGGCGCTAGCACCACCAACGTCCTTATGGATGGTGGAAAGAAGAACCGAAAGGGGAAGAAACATCAAAAGGGTAACAAGGAAATGCTGCCCGAGCTCACACCTCGACTGTCGATGCAAGTGACGAAGAAATAGGCGAAGATGCCATAGACGTCACTGTCGGAGAAGAATGGGTCGCAAGGGTAGAAGTGGCAAGACAAGCCGTCGAGATCTTAAGCTGGCGCATGAACGTGACTGACAACAAGTTCAAGACCCTTGAGGACTTCACCCTTGAGGAGAATGAGAACATCCGAAACGAGTTTGAGGGACGCCAGCAGGCCGAGTTCGAGATGAAGGAGGCCATCACTTCCTTGAAGTGTCGGCTTATGGAAGTGCTTAACACGAAGGAGACCATCACTTTGTTGGAGCGACAGCTGACGGAAGCACTTGGCACGATCGAGACACTGAGGGTCAAAGTGAAAGCACTCAAGGAAGGCGTGGAGGTTGGAGGATCTGCATCACCTGACCGTGATAGGGAGGCTAGGGTCTAGGCTCCCAAGCTACCTATGTTCAAGGGCGTCTGCGACGCGCAAGAGGTGGAGAACTTCTTACGGCACTTGGAGAACTACTACAAGTGTAGTCGGGTGAGAAGTGACGAGAACAAGATCAACACAGCTGTGTTGTATCTTTCGGAGATGGCTATGTTATGGTGGAGGCATAAAGAGTCCGACATCAGGAAGGAGACGTGCACCATCAACACGTGGGAGCAATTCCGCGAAGAGTTCAAGAGGGCGTTCTTCCCCAACAACGTCATCTATGAGGCAAAACGCAAGTTTAGGGAGTTAAAGCAAATGGGGGGCATACACGCATATGTGCAGGAGTTCACCACCCTTACGCTTCAGATTCCCAACCTCACGGATGAAGATATGTTGTTCCACTTCATGGATGGGCTGCAAAATTGGGCCAGGACCGAGTTGGAACTCCGACAGGTCAGGACGATTGATGAAGCCATCACACAGGCCGAAGCCTTGACAGACTTCAGGCAAGAGAAGCCTTACAGTGCCGGAGGGGACGACGTAAGAGGTAGTCATGATAATGGTAGGGGAGATCGTGGCGAATGCGAGGAGCAACGACCACAACCCAAGAGGCAATGCGAGGAGCAACGGCCTCAGAGGCATGACACCTATAGGTCCAACGGCAAGAAGTTTGGAGAACATGGCAACACGGTGAGGAAGACACAGGTTGCCAAGGGAGATGGTTGTTACATATGCGGTGGACTGCATGGCTATGCAAGGTGCCCCAAGCTGAAGAGCTTTAGTGCTATCCAGCGAGAGCAGAAAGAGAAGGAAGCACATGAGCAAGAACAAGGTGCGGAGACAACGTAGTTGGGCTTGATATGAATATGCAGAGCTATCATCAAGCAACCAGAGAAGCCAAGAATATGCGGCCGCAATATGTCTACATCATGATCAATGGAAGACCCGCTCATGCTATGGTCAACACAGGTGCAGAGGTCACTATCATGACCAAGACGGCAGCGACAAGGTTGGGGTTGCGTTACAGTCCAAGTAACGCCCAATTTAGGACGGTCAACGCACCATCGACTCTCGTGAATGGAGTCGCGCATGGAGTAAGCATCACTCTAGGTGAGTGGCAAGGTAAAACCAACTTCACTCGCTCCTTTAGATCTCTTTGATGTAATTCTTGGGCAGGAGTTCTTCCAGGCGTGTCACGTGGTGATCGATCCTTACCTCCAACAACTTATGGTCTTGGAGAGAGGAGGAACATGTATGATTTCCATGGTTAAGGCATCGAAGTCGGAGGAACAGGTCCTACTGACAGCCATGCAGCTCGAGAGGGTCGACAAGAGAAAGAGGATGACATCTGTAACTACCATTGCAAGTTCGGGAGAAGACAATGGTGCTGAGAAGTCCTTGCCACCGTGCACGAAGAAGTACCAAGAGGGAACAAGTCGTGATGAAAGAGAAGTCGCCGAGGCACTTGCCTCCTAGGAAGGAGGAAATTTCAAAGATCAGGCCGAGAGAGATCGGACAACAGCTGAGGGAGCTGCTCAAAGGGATTGATCGAGTGCGTGGATTGATGATCGCATGACAAAACTCGGATACCGATGCAGCAGCGATGCGATGCGATCGTCGCATCAATAGGTGTGGGAGAGCGTGAGGTCCCGCCACAATTCTAGCCTGATTTGGCGTCCGAATGGGGCAGAAGGATCTCGAGTTGTGAAGAGGTTTGCAGAGAACTCTAGACCCTTCTAGATTTCTGGAGAAGATTAGAGAATTCCTTAGAATTCTCTAGAATACTTTAGATTCTTTTGAAAGAGTTTAACATATTCTAGAAAATGTAATTCTCTAGAATATGGACTAAAGTGTAATTATTAGAAGGACTTGTAGAGAAACTTTTATTTGCACTTAGGCTCTTAGGAGGTAGTATATATAGAAGGGTCTCTCATTTGACTCATCCAAGAATCCAACCAAGCAAACTTGTAAGCAATCTTCCAAGATTAATATAAGCCCTCTTCCAAAGTTCTTTCTAAGTCTTTCTTTACATTCTCTTAGCGATCTAAGTCTTAGAGGCTTACTTGAGCTTACAAGATCGTGAAAGATTCGTGAGTAAGTTGTCGAGTGTCACACGGAGTCTTAGCAAATACTCTAAGTCTGTGACACTAAGACCTTTTATTTTAGGGCAAATGACATAAATAACATACTTTTAGGGTTAAATGACCATTTGTCCCTTACAAATTTCTAATGACCAGAATCCCTAAAAAATATATACAAAAACACAAATACACAATAGGGCTAATACAATAAAAAGGTAGCGGATATGTTATATATATTTTTTGTCACATTTTTGTATCCGCCTCATTTTTTGTCACATTTTTTTATCCCCCCCCCCCATTTGACTTAAAAATGAGGGATTTAATATTTTTAAAACTAATAAGGGATAAGGGTAATAAGTGAACTTAAGGGATGAATTTTTGTCATTTTGCCTTTATTTAATTGATCTATGTTGTTAGTTTAGAACAGATACAAAATGTGACAAGAATTGGGCCAAAGGCCCAAAACGACTATAGGCCCAAGTACCAGTCCAGGCGAACAGATCTAGACTTCGGCCCGTCTTCTTTCTCTATCTCATCTATTTGTTATTATGTGTTTTATGTGTGTACCTAATTTTAGGGTTCCAAAAATTCAACTCTCCAAAAGATAAATCATTTTAAATTAAAATTTTAAAAACAAGTAAATATTTTACTTTCATTTAGTCAAAAACGCCTAGTTTTAAAATATTAGCTAAATGATTAATTGTTGGATAACCATGTGTTAGCAAATGTTCTAGTTGCTTTAAAAACCTTTCTAGAACATTAATTATGAACCACGAATCCCTTTTTTATATTTTCATTAGATTTTTGTTTTCATCTTTTGAAAAATAATTTTCTTGATTTTTCTTAAAAATTAAGTGATAACTCTTAAAATCTGTCTAGTCTAAATAATAATATTTTTTGATTAAAATAGTTATAACTTAATTTCAATTGATATTTGACTATTTTAATTCTTTATTACTTATGTGGAGGTAGAATTTAAGAAGGGTATTAAACCCGAGATGACGACATAAGTTAGGGCGTAGGCCTCCCCCTATGAATTTTGAGGTCATTTGGCATTAACAGACTTGGTACCTTCAACCACCAAAGTTTATTTTGTCTTTACATACTCGTCTGTAACGTGTATAAATATTTTAATATTATTATTTTCTTGCTAAAATTTTTTTTAAAAAAATATTATTACTTTCTTTATTTTGTATTGGGATAATGCCCAAGTACCCCCTCAACCTATGTCCGAAATCTCAGAGACACACTTATACTATACTAAGTTCCTATTACCCCTCTGAACTTATTTCATTAATAATTTTTTACTCCTTTTTAGCTTACGTGGCATTATCTTGTGGGCCCAATGATGGTTGACTTTTTTTTTCGAACTAGTGCCACGTAGGCTAAAAAGGGGTAGAAAATTACATATAAAATAAGTTCAGGGGGGTAATAGGACCTTAGTATAGTATAAGTGTGTCTCTGGGATTTCAGACATAGGTTGAGGGGGTACTTGAGTATTTTTCCTTTTGTATTTAAATAAATTTAATACACATGTTTTCGCCTTGTATATTAACTTTCTTTTACCTTCATTTATTATTTTTTCCCTTTTAATTTTCTATTGATTTTATTAGTTTTTCTATGGACTATTGGAATGAATTCAGATCACTACTCAATAAGTGTCGTTAATTGATGTACTTGAGAAATTAATTCATGTAATTTGTATTTATTTTAAATATTAAAAATCTCCAATTTGATATTTCTGATCATCAAATAATAGAAAACCTCGATCAATCATAGCACATGTTAGATTTTTGCACTACAAATCTAAAATGGAATTTTTATTGTTGGAAAAAATAGAACATTTGATTTTTTTATTTGGGATGTTCAGTTTTAATTTTCTATGACTTTTGGTTAGAGAAAGTCTTGTGAATTAATTGCAGTCATATAATGTAAAATTACTTCATTGATTTTTTTGTTTTTCCAGGGATTTGGCTCAGTAGGATCTATTTCACAAGATAGAGGATATTATCGATTCTTTAATTTTAAATTTTTTATTTCTAATAATTATTTTGAAATAACTTTCTAAAATTTAATCTTTTTTGTTAATTATATAGTATTTTACATACGAATTGTCTACACAAATAGGAGAATCCACATAATTTATATTTTGACAAGTTTACTTGAATTCTCTAATTTGTATAGACAATTCGTAGGTAAAATACTATATAATTAACAAAAAAAATTAAATGTTGGCAAGTTGTTTCAAAAATAATTTATTAGAAATAAAAAATTTAGGATTAAAGATTTGATAATATCCACCACCTTGTGAAATAAATTCTAATAAGCCAATTCCCTGGAAAAACAAAAAAAATCAATGAAATAATTTTTCATTATATGACTGCAATTAATTCACAAGACTTTCTCTAACCAAAAGTCACAGAAAATTAAAACTGAACATCCCAAATAAAAAAAATTAAATGTTCTATTTTTTCCAACAAGAATAATTCCATTTTTAATTTGTAGTGCAAAAATCTAAAATGTGCTGTAATTGATCGAGGTTTTCTATTATTTGATAATCAGAAATATCAAAATTGGAGATTTTTAATATTTAAAATAAATATAAATTACATGAATTAATTCCTTAAGTACAACAATTAACGACCCTTATTGAGTAGTGATGTGAATTCATTCCAATAGTCCATAAAAAGTGTTAATAAAATCAGGGAAAAAACAGTAAAAGAAAGTTAAGATACAATACGAAAATAATGTGTATTAAATTAGTTTAAATACAAGATAAAGTAAAATAACAATTTTTTTTTAAAAAAAAAGAACTTAAGAAAAATATTTACACGTGGCAGACGGGCATGTACAAACACAATTAACTTTAGTGGTTGAATGTACCATGTCTATACAAAAATATGAAAAAATGAGTTTGGGGGAGCAGTTAAGTTTAGGCGTATCTCTAAAATTTCGGTCATATTCTTGGAGATATCGTATATCCCAAAACTAAAGAGAAAATCAGCCATTAGTTATATACCTTCAATGTACTTGGCATTCGTAACCACGCTATCTTGCTATGTCGCTGCAATATTTCATGCAAATATTCTGTCAATGACATCTCCATATTTAGTTGTTAAAACAATTAAAATGGTATTAAGTAGATGGAAAAAAATCTTAATAAAATTCAAGGTTAGACGCCTACTCTAACACTTAGATATATGTTGTTGTACAATATTACCTACTCTAACACTTAGATATATGTTGTTGTACAATATTACTCAATGTCTCGTAGCGATTCAAAAATTCAAAAGCATCCTCATTACAGTATCATGAAACTATAAATGCTTCAACTTCAAAACATAGTTAACATCTCATGCTTAGTATTGGTCATAGCAGGGCCTAGTATGAAATGGAAGAGCTTCATCCATTTTGGAAACGGTGCTAGCAGAGCAATCAGTGCATGGAGCCTGAGTATCCCACTCAGGAAGCCTAACACATGCCAAATGACCTCAAAATTCATAGGAGAAAGGTCATGTGTTGCCATCTCGGGTTCAACACCATTCTTAAACTATACCTTCTCCATATGAACTTGCGTAAGGGAGGGGTCACTGATCTTGTCCCAGCTATTCTTGTCCCAGCTATTGCCCAAGCTCCACCAACTGCAGGTGTTGCTCTCCATCTGGTCTTGCCCCTTACTAACGCTTTTATTATTTGAGCTGGTACTCTCACTCTGTTTCATCAGGTTTCATCCATATAAGGAATAAAGAATTGAAAAAGTTAAATATCAATTTGGAGCAATTAATATCAAGTTATAACATTAAGAAAGAAAAGAAGAGAAAAATATCCTCAAGTCTAATAGCCTCATGATAAGAAGTACAAAAGTCTATAAGTACCATTCTGTAATACTTTACTAAACCTATTTTGGTATGGTGAGATCAAAAAATTTAGGGCTCTGATACCAATTTTGTCATAATCCAATTTGTTTTAAAAACAACCCATACTAAATCTCTGGTAGGAAAAACATTATTTACTAGCATGCAAAATTCACATTGTACTGGTAATATCATTGACAAACTCTAGTTATACTAAATATGAACAAGTGACCTCAACTTGGTAGAATAAGATAACATACGTAATAACATGATCAACAATATTACAACAAGCCAATTCTGTTCACTCATGGAGCCTACATACACAAATGGTACAGGTGTGGTACCCCTGTAAACTGTTAGTAATTTTTACCAGCGTGGTACCCAAATCAGTCATATAAATATCTCGTACCCTAGCTAATAAAAAATATAAGTTGTGGTACCTGAGCCAACCAAAAGATTTCATGAATCAAACGTGTTACTCAAATCAACTATTAGTATGTACCATGTATGGTACCTGCGCCAACTAACAATCAAACGTTACAATGAATAAAAATTACACTTGTCATACATTATATAGATAATACTGACAAAGTAGTAAACATGCACATACAACATAAACTAAAAATAAACAATCATCACCTTCCTCGAATCATGCCCAAAATGGCTCCATTGAATCTGAACTTTCCCCTTGTTATGATGCCTAACTAGTTTTTGATATCAAATTATATATATAACACATTATCATATCCAAATAACTTAGAAACACCTTAATTATCAAAATCCCAACCCGGACCATTCTATGATTATCCCACCCAAATAAGGGTTTCCCACTTTTAAATTAAATGACCCCCCCACCCTCACCCCACCCCCACCCCCGGTTCTTAAGATCACAACCACTTATTCTAAGGCTCTAGAATCGAATTACTAAGTTAAGGGAGTAATTTTCTGACCTTAACGGATGATTACGATGGAAAATAAAAGAAATTTGCCAAAGTCACTTCTGCTCTTCCCCAAAACGTAATTTCCAAACAATGAGCAGTTTTGGGTAAGGGTGTGCATTGGTCGGTTTAGTACACTTTTATGTATTATCAGTTTGATTTATAGATTTTTGATTTGTAAATACGTTAAACCAATAAGATATTCGTTATTGGTTTTCAATTTATCGGTTTTTGGTCATTAACGATTCAATTTTCAGTTTACCCATCAAGAAAATGCTCATAAAATAAAAATATAATTTCTCACTTCTTTAACAATTTAGCACAATACAATGAGACAAGAAAAGTAGCTGCAAATGCTTTGATGTAGTGAAACAAGAAATATTATGGGAAATTGTTTCAATAAGAGTAGATGTAGTACGAAGACTACAATAATATGTTACTAAAAACATAATATGGAACTTCTTACGTGAAGTAGAAGGATTATGATGTGTGAAGTGTGTAGACCATAGGGTAGAATATTGATATAGTGTCTAGCTATATTAAATTATTAATGTTTAATATTTATGAAGGTAGAGCAGTAGCTTACTATCGTCTTAATGAGTTATTGATTTATCCAATAAACCAATCGATACTAAACCGATAACCTAATTTTTTTTTAATATAAAATCATTAAAAACTCATTAACCCAATAACCTTGATCCAATTACATTTTTTTCATTCATTTTATTGGTCTGTTTGATTTTTGTACATTCCTAATTTTGAGAGATTTTTTCACATTAAGTGTGACTAACCCCACTATAAATGTCCAATTCAGCTTTAGCAATAATGCTGCAGCGGGCTCTCACGTTATAACATGAATTAAATCCTTTTCCTGAATTTCCCTAGACCTTGCCTCACTTAAATTTCGTTTAGGCTTAGCCTAACCTAAAATTTTGACTCACTACTCAAAAAGTTTCTCACTCATTTTCCTTCACTAGTAGCTCACCGATGATGAAGAGGGGAGTCGCTACAATAATTTGACACACGAATACATGTTATCAGTCATAAGTTTTGATAATAAGGAATCAAAAGTTTGAAAATACTTTTGGGCTAACAGAGGAATGCAGAATATCTAGAGTAAGTCTTTATATGTTAAAGATATTTTGTCTCTAGTTTTGTTGATTTAATGATACATCTTATTCTATATTTAAAATAAGGGTGATCCATGTGAGGATGGTGTTCACGACACCATTGACTGTGACGTGGATTCTCTAATTTGTATAGACAATTAGTCAGTACTACACTATAATTAACAAAAAAAATAAAGGTATGACAAGCTATTTTAAGAAAATTATTAAAGAAAAAGAGTTGATAATATATATTAATGTATTGGTAATGTTTTATTTAGTCCTTAATATACTTTACGTTATTGAAATTGTGCATAATATATTTTTTTAAAAAAAGATGTTTATTTTAGTCCTTCATATGTTTCATTTGATTAAAATGATCTTTAATGTATAATAAAAGTGTTCATTTTAGTACTTTCACTTAAACCAACATATTTATCAGAAAAATAGTGTCAAATTTAACTATAGACCCTATGTGGCTAACGAAATCCACCATTAATGTTGTCTCCTTTGTTAGCTTAGCTCTAAAGAAAAAAACTATATAAAATACAACACTATTTCATCTCTACTTTCTCTAACAAAATTTACTTTTTTCTCTCGCTTAAATTTTTTTGCTTGAGCATATAATTTTTTGAATCTTGAAGGATAATTTTTAAATTATGAAGTAAATTTGGTTGGAGAAACTTGAGAGAATGGTGGTAGATTTAATGGAGTTACGTTCTTTCTTTGATCACCATTGATTCTCACGTGGATCCGTTCTTATTTCAAATATAGATAAGCTTATCATTAAATCAAAAAAAGAAGATAAAAATATCCTAAAAATATAAAAAATCATCAAAGATATTTTGCATCCTCCATTTGGTCTAAAACTATTTTCAAGCTATTTTATTTGCTCAATGATACCCCTCAAACTAACCCAAACTTTTTTTTTTCTCATTTTAAAAAGCTATATCACTTGTGGTTGATCACATATATCCATGTGTCAAATTTCAAATTCTAATATAGTCATTATAGCGACTTCCCTCATCTTTATTGGCGAGTTGATAGTGAAGGAAAATGAGTGAGAAACTTTTGATGTAGTGAGTTAAAATATTAGGTTAGATTAAGCTTGGACGAAATCTGAGTGAGACAAGCAGGTCTAGGGAAATTCGGGAACAGTATTGGAGAAAATGTCTAGGTAAAGTTTAATTTTGTTGGTTCTAAGACGTTAAGGAGTTCGTAGATCTTTTCGAAAGTGAATTAACGCGATAGAACTTTCGACATATAAGTTGGTGTGAAAGGATTGATTTGGAACGTCAAGATTTGAAGTGGGCCCTCTATGGTGAGGTAAGACACATAATGTAAAAGAAAATCTCAAAACTAGGGGTGTGCATTAATCAATCTGACCAATAAAACGAATTAAAAAAATGTTATTAGGTCATTACTATTGGGTTAATGGAGTTTTAGTGGTTTTATATAAAAAAATTATTGGGTTATCGGTTTGGTATCGATTTTTAGTTTTGGGTTATTGGGTAAACTGATAATCCATTAAGACTATATCAAGTTACTACTATACCCTTCAAAAATATTGAATATTAATAATTTAATATAACTAGACACTATGTCAGTACTTAACAGTTAACACTACGGTCTACACACTTCACACATCATGGTACTCAGAGGCATACACATAATTTTTCGTAAACAGTGTCACCCTTTAAAATAAGAAATAAATAAAATAATATAAACCATATTTTTTAAAAAAAATATACACACAATTAATGTATAGTGGTATAACTTTTTCTAAAAAAATAAAATAAAAACACATTATAATTTTTTTCATGAGTTCTTTTTTATGAAATGTATTCAAATTAATTTCGTTGATAATATTGTACTAAATTTTTGTTTATCTATACAAAATACCAAAAAATTACTAAACAAAGAAGGCCAAAGAAAAAAACATAAAAAAAATGTGGTTATGTAGGATTGAACACACAACCTTGCCTAATGAATTTAGGCAAAAAAGCACCTAAGCAACAGACTTCTATTGTTCGACTAGTGTCACTTTTATTAAATAGACCTTTTGTCTTTGCTTTTGTTTCATATATACACTTTAGCCATTTTTCCGACGAAGCAGTGTCAGGTGACATCCCTCCCCCCTTCCCTTCCTAAATCTGCCCCTGGCTTCGTGACCTCAATTATGATTCTTGCACTTCTTAAATCCAAATAATGCGGGCTATTTTTTTTCAAGCCGTTATGGATTTTTCCCCTCTAATCCATTTTTTGGAGTTAGACTATTAATGTTTTGGGGTTGCATACTCTAGACAACATATATGTTTTGACACACGACTTTCAATTTTTAGGAGGATTTTTTCCACAAATGTTTAGTGGTGATGAATTTTCTATTATGACACTTTTTAAAACTTTTTCAGAACTATTTCCTTTTTATTGTTTAACATTTTGCATGCTAGTAAGTAATGTTTCTCTCACAAGGAATTTAATATGGGTGTTTCTTACGACATGTTGGATTATGACAAAGCTGGTATCAAAGTCTTAGGTGTTTTGATCTCGTCATACCAAAATAGGTCTAGTAAAGTCTTACAGAATGGTACTTAGACTTTTGTACTTTTCTTCGTGAGGCTATTAGGCTTTAGTATATTTTTCTCTTCTTTTCTTTTGATGTTATAACTTGATTCGAATTGATATTCGACTTTTTTAATTCTTTTTCCTTTAGGTGGATGACACCAGATGAAACAGATCAGAGAGAGAGTACCAGCTCCAATTGCAGAACCAACAATGTGAGGGTGAGGAAGAGGCAAAGGCATATGGAAAGAAACACCCGCTAGAGGTGGAGACCAGCAATCCCTCCCCTCCCTTACACAGGTTCATATTGAAAAATGGTGTGGAGGTAGAGTTCAAGAAGGGTATTGAACCCGATCGAGATGGCGACTCAAATTAGGGTTTATGCCTTCCCCCTATGACTTGTGAGGTTATTCGGCAAGTCGACAAGTGTTAACCTTCCTGAGTGGGATAGCGTTTACTGGAGCCACTCCTACTCAAGCCCCAGACACTTATTCTGCTGCTAGTATCGCTCCAAGAATGGATGAAGCTTCGGGTATTGATGTGTTCTTTCATTCAATACTAGGAGACTAACCATGACTTATTAACTATGTTTTTGAAGTTGAAACCTTCATAGTTTCATGGTATTGAAAATGAGAGCTTTTGAACCGTTACGAGAGATTGCATAAGGTGGATATTGTACAACAACATATATCTAAATGGTAGAGTATGCGTCTAATCTTAAAAATAATGTTATTTTTCATTTTTATTCGTTAAGATTTTTTTTTTTGTTCATCTGCTTAATATCATTTCTGTTGTTTTGACAACTAAATTATCTTCTAAAGATGAAGATGTCATTGACGAATATTTGCATGGAATGTTGTAGTGGGACAAGAAGATATATAGTCATTATATGTTGATGGTATATAGCTAATGGGTAATTTTCTCTTTAGTTTTGAGATATGATACAAGTATTTTCTTAGATTATGACCAAAATTTTAGAAATACACCTAAACTTAACTAGAGTCCTATCCCCCTCTCCTCCTCCAAACTCATTTATTTCATATTTTTTTGCTAGCATGATACTTTTAACCACCAAAATTAGTTGTGTTTATACAAACTCGTTTGTCATGCGTGTAAATATTTTTTTACTATATTATGTTTCTTAATTTTTGTTAAAAAAAATAAGTTTTTAATAAACTTTTTATTAAATTATTCTTATTTTCTTCATCTTGTATTTAAATCAATTTAATAGGCACATTGTTTATGCTTTATATCTTAACTTTCTTTTATCTTCATTTATTGTTTTATCCTTTTTATTTTCTATTGATTTTATTAACTTTTTATGGACTATTGGAATAAATTCAAATCATTACTCAATAAGTGTCATTAGTTGACGTACTTAAAGAATTAATTCATGTAATGTATATTAAAAATCTCCAATATTGATATTATCAAATAGTAGAAAATCTTGATCACTCATAGTACATGACTAGTTTTTTGCACTATAAAAAATAAAATTTTCTTGTTGGAAAAAAATGAAACTTTTGATTTTTTTTATTTGGGGTGTTAACTTTTAATTTTCTGTGACTTTTGGTTAGTAAAAATTTATTGTGAATTAATTACAGTCATATAATGAAAAATTACTTTATTATTATTTTTTATTTTTTTGGGGATTTGGCTTAGTAGGATCTATTTCACAAAGTGATAGATATTATCAAATCTTTTATCGTAAAATTTTTGTTTTTAATAATTATTTTGAAATGACTTGCGAAAATTTCATTCCTTTTTTTATTAATTATAGAGTATTGTACATACAAATTGGAGAATCCACGTACACTTTGTTACAATTTAAATTACGGGATGACACCAAAATTTACTTGTATTTAATTAGATAGGCGAAGTCTTACCATACATTCTTAATTAAAAATTTTCTTTATATAGTTAGAATCGGGGTTGACAAAACACAACAATAAGAAAAAATCACTTAACATTACAAATTCTTAACAACTTCCAAGGACCTAGTCTAGATTGGTACACGAGTTTTTACTAGAGCAACTTTAACATATAACAAACATAAAAATCATATTTATACGTATGATATAGCTATAATTTACATAATTATGCTTCATAGCAAACATAAATATGTATATTTCGTTATACATATACAAAGGAGGGAAAATTGTCTAAATATTTTCAAATAGTTTTGAAATCAAAAAACTGTTTTAAGCTATTCTTTGATTTTGATGCTCGTGTATACTTGAGTTATTCTTCAAAGTCAACCTACACGGGATTTGCTTAGGAACCAATGATGGTTCCACTCAATAAGTGTTGTCCATGACGTGCCTTGGTAGAACTATTCCACAGTTTGAAGTATCTCAACCCTCAAAGGTGCATCAGAACCTTCCAACAATATCCCATGCCATTTATACTTTTTATAGTTTATACCTTTTCGTTCAAATTTTATCTCTAATGTACTAATAAAGTTCACATCTTAAGCCTAAAATTTATTAATTCGAAGTTTTAAACTCATTTATTCAAAAAAATAACTATGGTAGTTACCTAGTTTTTTCTATTTCTTACTATCTTTATCACTTGATTAAAGGATACAGATCATAAGATATTTAATCATCATCCAATAAAACCATCAAAATTCAAAAATATAATGATGGAAAATGATCTTCTTCTAGTTGTAAAGAAAAGAATCAAAGACAAACTCACAAACATATTGTTTAAAAGAAAACAGAAATATCAGACCAGATCAATAAATGCATATCATATTTATAATTGAGTATATAATATAATTATAGATTTGATAAAAAATACGGATGGTAGAAAGATGTTTGAATTTTGTTCATTATTAGGAAGAAAAATAAAGAAAAGAATAACGTGAGGTGCACCATTGTGACAGTACATTTTTTAACATGTACATCACATAACTATTGGAATAATATATTCCTCCAACGAACTAAGGTTTAGTATAACACGTTGGATTAAAATAACGGGAAAGTGCACAACTACCCCTTCAATCTATGCCCGAAATTTTAGATTCACATTTGTACTATACTAAGGTCCTATTACCCCTGAACTTATTTTATAAGTAATTTTTTGTCCCTTTTCGGCCTACGTGACACTATCTTGAAAAACAAAACCAACCAGCGTTGGATCCACAAGATAGTGTCACGGGGCCGAAAAGGGGTAAAAAATTATTAATAAAATAAGTTCAGGGGGTAATAGGACCTTAGTAAAGTATAAGTGTGTCTCTGAGATTTCGGACATAAGTTGAGGGGTACTCGTGCATTATCCCTTAAAATAAGTGCATAAACTATATTATTATCTCAATTTTCATAACTGAATGAATTTTATTCTATGCGATCAATAACAATACAAACAGTGAAATTTCAGAAGTAGAGCCTAAAGAAGGTAAAATATATGTAGATCTTAGCATTATCTTATAAATCGAGATAGATAAACTGTTTTTAAAGACTCAAAATAAACATAATGACAAATTTTGATTTCAATCATTTACGCAAAATGAAGCACTTGGAAGTCGTTTGTTACAAATGCAGGAAATATATATATACATACTATTAGTTATGTATATTTCTAAAAAAATAAAACACAAAATATTAATTTTATTCATACTTATAATTAACTATTAAATATTGTATTACTTCTGTAATATTTAATAATTAAGAAAATGACCAAAATAATCCTCAATGTATGAGTAATATTATATTTTGATTCTTAATTTATTTCATTTAATTGAAATAGTTCCTAATGTATAATAAAGATGTTCATTTTAGTCCTTAATATATTTTACTTGACTGAAATAATCATAACATAAACATATAATAAAATGTTTTCATTTTGATCGTTTATCCTAACGTAACAAACTTTTTATAAGAAAAAATATTAAATTTAATTATGGACTTCATGTGCTTAATAAAATTCACCATTGATATTTTCTTTGTTAACTTCAAAGAAAATTCTCATGAAATCTAATGAGTACTAATTTTTTTACAATCTCTAATAAAAATTATTATTATTTTCTCTTACTTCAAACAGAAATGAGTACAACGTCAATAGAATAGTATTTTAATAGGAGAAAATAGTAAATTTTGTTGAAGAAATTAATTAAAGAAAATGGTGTTAGATTTTATGGAGCTATCTCTTTAAAACTAACAAAAAAGACTAATAGTAAACTTTATTAGCCATGTAAAAGTCTGTAAGACTTTTTTTAAAAATGAATATGTTAAGTTTAGGTAAATAATAAAAACAACACATTTTATCATATATTAAACATCATAATAAAATGTATTAAAAATTAAAATGCATATTTTTATTATATAATTACGTATCATCATAATCAATCAAAATATATTATTTATACATTAAATTTTGAATTATAACATAAATATCAAACATATTAGATGAAAGAGTAATAGAGTCAGACTAGAAGCGACAAGTAAGGGAAGAGTTGGGTATTCCGTTAAATTGGTAGCGAATCGAACGTTGTATCATTCCTTCCCCTTTTTTGTTTTCATTCCATCTACCTTTGAGTTTGTTTTTGCGCCCAAATAATAGTGAAACTGAAAAAAGAAACCTTTTTTCTTCTTCTTCTCTCTAATTTATTCGATTTACTTTCTACTATTGCTGCCACTCTTGCTCCTTCTTGATTTTGGGTTGGCCTCAGCCTACCCTCACTGCCTCTATTGATTTTACTCCCTTGTTAGAACCACCCATTTTCTAGTTATTCGCAGATTCTCCATTCAGGTATTCAATTTTTGCACTTCTTTATTTGTTTCTTGTTTTTGGGGTTTTATCATGCATATTGTTTACTCTGTTTCTACAATTCATGGGTTGTATTTCATTTCCCTTAAAGGTCAAATCTTGATGGTAGAATTGGCGATAGGAGTCTTAGTAAACTGTTAGATCATTGTTTGAGATGTTTTTGTTAACTGATGTATATCTTGTTTAAGAAACATCAGGAGCTTGTGGAAGATTCGATTATTAGATCTGCTTTAGTTATTCGCGGATATATATTTAATGATGAATAGAACTTTCCTGACATTGTTTTTAGTCTATGAAAAAAAGATAATAAAGAAATTATCATGTGATTGTTGAATACTTCGTTTTACTTCATGGGAGGGATATTAAAGCACAGATATGATGGTGATAACACCCTCCTATAGTTAAAATCATTGATAAATGAAGAAACTTTGGGATGTCAACTTGGGTAAATTGTGACACGAACAAAAAGAGAAAAAAAAAACCCAGCTGAATTACTTTTAGACAGTGAAACATGCAACCATCACTTTTATAGTTCACGGGCGTTGGTTTCTTTTGGGAGTTACTTGATGGATTATTCTTGTTAGGCTGCTATAGTGCTTGTTATGGAGACATTGGTACACATAAAATTGTTACTTGTGTATAACTGCATATATTGCTAGCATTTCATAGGTTTCTTGTCCTTATTGCAATTTGTTTTCATCCTGTTAGAATTTTAATGCTGTTATGTTTCTTATTTTGAGACTCAAAACTGATAGTATCAATTATGGTTCAGTGATTTGATTTTGTCTTACAATTTTATAGTGATTGAATTCCAATAATGATGGAGAAGGGAGATTCTTCACAGAAACTGTATAAACGGATGCGACTTTGGGAATTTCCAGACCAATATGTTGTTGAGCCTACTGATGGATCCTCTGGTTCATGTTTGGAAATTAGTCGTGTTGATGGGTCGATGAAACTAATAGGTTGTTTTCTTATTTTGCTGTTTTCAAATGCTCTACTGGTTTTTAGTTTTTCTATAAGCTAACTTTGTTCTTTCCTTGTATATTTTCTCTTCTTTAGATGAGATACCACATTGCAGTTCACTTCGTGTTCCCAAAATTCGGACAATTTTTGGAGTTATTGGGATTT